CATAACAAAATTAGTAGTGGGCTTAGAGAATTTTAAAGTGTAACTAAGACTCAATTTATATTGCGGTGGAATTCCGTGGAATTCTCGCGCATGCTCGAGAATGCTCGCACATTTCGCGGAAAGTTTTGGCTCGTATTTAGTTTATACGTTACACGATTGACCATAAAGTCCATTATGCTATGTACAATATTTGAACAAAAATTCGCTTCCATTCCGTTCCGTCGCAATATAAATTGAGCCTGAAGGTTAATTTAAAGTCGACGAGAACTTATACGATGATTCTTTTTTATTTGAAAATAGGGTACCTCAGTATTGGTCAAACTTTAAATTTGAAGAAAATATTCCACCGCTAAGCATGGCAAATTGGCAAACTGGATAAATCCGGTTTCGCGCACTTTCCGATAACCGATTTCAATAAAACTTGGTAAGTAGATGTAATTTCACGAACTTTTCAGAACAGTTTTTTTAAATAAAAAACTTATCATTATTTCGGATCTAAACCGCGTATTTGTTTTTCGAACAAACCAATTTTTGGGGCCTTTTACAGATCCCACGATCACAGGTGACTGAGATCTATGTATGGTGATATATGATGGGCTATCACGGCTTTATTGTTCAATTGAGTAATTTAGTACTAAATTAAAAAATACATAGTTTGACCTACCGCCTCTCAAGCAAAGGCTGTAGGTTCGAATCCGGGCTGGCACCTCTTGAGGTTCTCGGAATTTATGCACGAAATTTAATTTCAAATTTACCACAAGTTTTCGGTGATGGAAAACGGTTGAAGAAGGTTCACAACCCTCGGAAAAACGTTTGTATTCCCCAACCCGCATTGGTCCAGCGTGGCGGAATATGGCCTAAACCATCGCTTGAAAGGAGACCCAAGATAAGTGACTAAGTGACGGGACGAATAAGTCGTGCACCTGGTGGTCAGCAACTGGCCTGTCTATAACAGTTGCAATGCCGCTCAGAGCTTTAAATCACAAAGATAACTGCCTCCGTGGCCGAACGGTTACCATGCCGGGCTGCCACGCAGAGGTCTCAGGTTCGATTCCCGGCCGGGAGAAACATTTGTATGGCCTACATTTATTTCTCTCGTGAGTTTGGGTGTGATTTGTGGTTGTCTATGTGTGTGTCCATGGCACCCGCGACACAGGGTTTCCCTAGTGCGGGGCTATGTTGAGTGTGTGCGTTATTATTATTAGATCTTAGGAGCACTACCACTGCGCCCGTCACCCTGAAACATAAGTTGACAAGTCCCATGTGCCTGTAATTTCACCAGCCCCCTACCCGTCTAAACCGGAACGCATTAATGCTCACATTATTGCCTGGCGGCTGAAAAAGGTAAGGTCTGCCACTGAGCAGCCACCGAGAGATTGAGCTCTATTGCAACTAAAAATTAAATATACAATAAAATTACTTACTAATTAAAGAATTTGTATTGTAAAAGGTCCTTAAACAAAAAATAGAAAAATACCCAAAATCTCTCAACTCTTAAAATCAAGGCAACGCATTTTTCACATTAGCACTTTAAGTCGAGTCACACTCACTCTATCAATCACTTACATTCATATGCAAAAAAAGGTTATTGTCTGGTCTAATCGAAGTATTAGGCGTGCTAATTTTTTGTTCCCTGCTAATAGACAATGTTCGCTTGTGAAAGCTGAGTAAAACCATAGTATAAATAATAAGACAAGTACGGTAACTCTATATAAACGTAGCAGCACGGATGTACGTGTGCACGCCCACCGCGCGCCATCTACGGACGCACACATTCGCGAAATCTAGCGGTGCACTCGCAATGAAACAAAGTGATGTTCTAACAATATAACATAAATCATCATTCGCTAACAATATATATATAATTTTTTCATCATCACCGTTATCATCATATCACTCGGAAGACTTCCAGACTAGCCGATCAGACGCGACGTGCGTATCGATTACCCGTCACCCTTACCAAGACCCCGATTCAGGACTCTTCGATTTCTCGATTGGATATTCAACAGCGTTTACGGAGTTAGTCGGTGAAATAGATTATAAGAAAAATGAAAATCGTTTTATATACATTTTTAAGACTTTAAAGGCTTAAAATTAGGAATGCATTTGTCTCGTATGTGTGACGTCATTTCAGTTCGGTTGCGAATACGACAGTTTGACGATAGATTCGGTTATTGAGAATAAAAATGAAAAGAAATCGTACGATATGTAATCGAATCGAAACCTTACGTCTGTTGTAGACGTAAGGTTCGTCCATCTAGTACAGGGCCGTCCCACTGAATGCCTTCCGGTTCGTGGTCTCCATTCGAGAACCTTTCTGCCCCAAAGGTCTTCAGTTCTACGAGCCATGTGCCTGCCGACTGGCACTTCAACTTGCTAGTCCTTTGAGCGATGTTGGTGACTTTCGTTCTTCTACGGATCTCATCATTCCTGATTCGATCACGTAGAGAAATGTCGAACATTACACGCGCCATAGCTCATTGAGTGACAGAGCTTTTTTATGAAGCCCATAGTAAGTGACCACGTCTCAGAGCCGTAGGTCATCGGTGGCAACACGCACTGGTCGAAGACTTTTGTCTTCAAGGACTGCGCACGAGAAAACGTCCCGGAGCTTCACGAGAGCTGCCCAACCGAGTCGGACTCAACGATTGACCTCTTTCGCTTTTTATATAATTTTCATAAGATACATATGCTCATAAATATAATTACATACTTTTAATTTGAAAAGATTTTACGTTTTATTCTTATGTAAAGCCAAAGCAAAAGGTTTTAATTTAATTTATATAATGTATAACATTTATTTGTGATATCCTTAAAAGTTTGTAAATATTATATGAATGAACATTAAACTCTATTTTTCTTTTTTTCCTCTTCCGCGCAAGTGTGATCAAACATGGATCAAACAGGGTGTCAATCAAACAAACAAACACACGATGAAAGTAGTGATATTGCGATCTCCGATAAACACACCTTAAAATAAGCCAATATTATTTATTAACTGACACTTCAATTCAGATAGTGTGGCGGCCAATAATATTGTTTGATAAATCATTCCTATGTTTTATGCCGCTCTGGTTGAATACCCAGTAGATAAAATTAAACCTAAAGGAAATATATTAATGAACTCAATTATATCGATTATGTGTATTCTATATAATCCTGTATAGATCGCACTGTACACACGGATCAGTCTAAGGAAATGCCTACGGTCGTCAAGTAAACAAACCCAATGCGGGTTGGGAATGCTACACGTCTTGCAAAAGGTTTGAACCTTCTCTTGCTTGCAGGTGAGAATTTGTGATGGAATTGCACGACAATTCTGCCTTCATCAATTCACCCCTTTGTTGTGGATATCCCAAATATATACACGAAGCGTAAGCTTCCACACTATATAAGATGAAGTAGTGCAATTCAGTGCCTGTAGACTTATTCCCTGAACGCTATAACTTGGGCCTTTACAAGACGAGTGTGAATAAGCATTATTTAAGTGTGTAAGTTCCATCGTCGACTTCATCGTCATTTTTTTTCATAATTAAGTAACACGTCTATCCATGACAGTTGCAGTGCTACTCAAAGCTTTAAATCGCAAAGATCTTACAGGCACTGCCACTGCGCCCGTCACCCTGAGACATAAGTTGACAAGTCATGTGCCTTTATATTCACCAGCACACTTACCCTTCTAAACCGGAACGCAGTAATGCTCACATTACTGCTTGTCAGCAGAAATAGGTAAGGTGGCAGTACCTCCATGGACGAACTCTTTCACAAGAAGCTGTACTGCTACTGATAGTTACCAGCGGTTAGCGCTACGGTGCTAAGCGGACCCTGTGTTCCTGGTCTAGGTGTTCTAGGTTCCTCGAAATTATTTTCATTACTATGATACTAATATAAAAAGTATAGGGAATTCCCATTGACTTACAATTATATGGACGTCGGGTCCGCGCTAAAAAGTGTCCGCACTTGTAAGGCGCTAAAATCGTATACAGAGCGCCAAACTCCGCTTTAGTCTTCATTTGTTCTACTGACAGCGCGATACTGCGATGACATTACAATTTAAATTTCGAATAGGTTGACTTGGGACATTTTTTTCGTGGTTTTTGTATTAGACCCGTCGTCCATTTATTTGTAAGTCAATGGGAATTCCTTAGGTGAGATAGGTAGATCGTGTTAAACTGAGTATCGTAGAATGCGATAGAAGCTAGCTAGCTGTCAAAATTACTTTTCAAAATGGCCGATTCAAAATGGTGGCCCGAAAAAATGTAATCCATTCCGGCTGAAATTTCGCGTTTCTTAGTGTTTGTGGACCCACCTGCAACTTTTTGCTTTAAAGCTCCAGTATGAATCCAATTTGTCAACCGAAAAATGAAACGTGTCAGATAACCTGTAATCAGAACTGACTGCGGGAATGCGCAGGTTGCGAGCAGCGTCAAACCATTATTGGCGGAAATCAGTAGGGAGAGGCCTTTGTCCTTAGAATAATAACGCATAGAATGATAGTTTCATATCAAACGAACTGTCACAAGTGAGGCAAAAATCAAATTCATGTAGGCTAGTTTTAGTAGTAGGTTAATTTTCGGTTTTAGTGAATATTTATATAAAAATTCAAGTTGAAACGCGTTACTTCCTTGTGGTGATGTTAGTATCTATTTTATGTTTGTCTGACGTATTTTTACACTCATTTACCGCACATTTCGTCATTTTTAGCTAAAATTCTGGAGCTGTTCGCGGTGCAAGTTGACCTTGAGCACTGAAGGCCCGCCCGTTCGTGTAGGCCCTTTGGGAGCGCTTCAATTTGCCTCACTTAGCGTGTGCGGGCTAGGTTTCTATGCATTATTGTTCTAAGCCTTTGTCCAACAGTGACTTATATCGGCTGAAGTGCATCAGCATGAAGTGAATACTGTCATGTTTAACAGACTTTTTGGATGTTACTTACATTTCGTTCCATCGCACGTTTAGGTATTGGTTGACGACGATGTAATAATAAAAACAATTTGTTTCAGTATGGCGACCAGTGGATGGTGCCCAGAATGGGACAGTCGAGCTCATCAGTTCACAGATAACCCGGCTCTCTAACACCACTCTATTGGACGCGGGGTTCGATCTAGACCTCATAGAACATATGTTAGTAACGACTACCACTTAATTTTCTACAAAGAAGCATGGCGAAAGCTGACCCAAAATCAACGAAGTGGCGTTCATAGACTTTTCTAGTATAATTTTACGTTTTAGTTTATGCCTAGTTATATAAGTCGGGAATAAAGAAATTGCAAAACAATGCATTTTAGACTAGATGCAAGAACACAATGCAAATGACTCAGTTCGACATAGATTATATAACGTTCTTGTACGCACGTTTCATTTTAAGCATGATAGAATGTTTAGCTACCTAAACATTGACTTACAATTATATGGACGTCGGGTCCGCGCTAAAAAGTGTCCGCACTTGTAAGGCGCTAAAATCGTATACAGAGCGCCAAACTCCGCTTTAGTCTTCATTTGTTCGACTGACAGCGCGATACTGCGATGACATTACAATTTAAATTTCGAATAGGTTGACTTGGGACATTTTTTTCGTGGTTTTTGTATTAGACCCGTCGTCCATTTATTTGTAAGTCAATGTACCTAAAGTATTGTTTATTTTATAGAACACACATAAAACTTTAAAACTATAAAATACCTAATCAAATAATCAAGAAACAATAATGACATAAAGTAAAAAATAAAACACAATGTGACAAAAATGTTTAGGCAATATTTAAATGAGTGATACGAAATGAAATGAGTTAGCAAAGGAATATTTTGACAAGAGGCATTTTGCCAATGTCAATGTCACTTTGAGATTGAGAACAGTGTGACCATTTGTGGCAGATTTCTGCCATTTGGGCAGATTTTATTTTTATTCCTTTTCATTCCGACAGAACATGTTAACGGTGTATTAAATATGGTAGAGTTTGGCAGATTTAGGAATATTCAGCAAGTTCTTTGTTATTTTTAGGAACAAATTGAAAACTTGTTGTTTAATGCCATTACGAACAAACACCTGAAGCGAAATACGGGACAATGTTGTAAACATAATTTATATCAACTTTATAACCCCAGCTTCTACAAGCTGTACTCAATTAGCTTTTTTGATGCTTTCATAATGAATCATAAGTATTGATAGGTCTCTTTAATGCACGTTGTCAAAAACACTGGGTCACAAAATCCACGGGAAATCGCCATCCTTCTTTGGCCCCTATAATGCTAATTATGTTTGATCCTTTTCAAGACTTGTATAATTTAAATCATACTTTATACTCGTATATATTATTGCTTACTCTCAAAGGTTACAGCTCATAATATGCTTGCATTTAAACCCATTAAAAAAACACACTAAAATTAAATTTAAGCGTCTATGTCAGCATGACTGGTTTTCATGTCAACTTCGAAATACCTTTAAGGGGGAGTCACCAGTATTAGCGAATCACATTATGACGATCGGAAAAAGCTTTGTGTCCATCTAAAAAGCAAAAGCAAAACGCACAACGTCCTTTCCTTCTTTTTTTATCCGATAGTTACGTCATGCGGGGGGCTCTTCATAATAATAAAATTTTCAATTCTCATGCTCTAAAAGTACGTCAATACAGCCTCACGTAGCGGGAGTAAAGTGCATCCTTTAAGTCCTAGGGAATAAAAAGTACTTTTTTAATTTACTTCGAGTGAACAAACTCAAACAGCCAATGTAGTACGCTCTGTTTTAGTTCCGTACCTTTTCCGCATAGACGGTGGCGCCATGTTATTTTCCCGCGAGTGCGTTTGTTATATGTGTCTGGTTGGAAAAACAATACCACGAAAACTTCAGAACTTTGGTTCGTAATTTTGTTGTAGGGCGAAAAACGATTGAAATATATTTTTTTATAGTAATCGAAGTGAAAAGTAAATTTTTCACCTCAATACTAAAAGCCAATATAAACCCTCGGAGTAATAGACACCCTAGCTAAAGCTCGGGTGGCGAACCGCCTCGGCTATATATATATTGGATCGTTTTAGTCCTTCGTTAGTGACAATTAATACTTATAAACTATATTAGTACCTAAATTACACATAAATGAAATGTTTCTTTGTTTCAGATCTATAGTAAATGCAAAATACTTAGCTCACATTGACGTAGATCATTTACAACAGATGCCGAATCTCCAAACATTGTAAGTAATTAATGCAAGAAGTAAAAAACCCAATAATACATATTATCACATGACCGGTCGCGGTCGTAGTCACCTGTGTGTCGGTTTTCTACAAAATATACTTCGGTGAGTGTGCCCATGATCTCCATCAGCTAATTCCGCCCGCCCCTGTTTACTATCATTGATCATCCCTACATGATCAATTGTCCCTTCAGGCGTATTTAAGCTCATACAACCATAGTATCTTTAGGGTGCGACTGAATAGACTCCTCCTGGGCGAGTTCGTTTCATCGTACAACCTATTTTTCCAGGGCCACTTTGTTAGTAGGTCATTGAGGGCCACGTAAAGATCAAGGGCAAGTCCATTTACTTTAAAAAAAGAATACACATAGGAAAATAAATTATTTTTCCGGATTTAAATCGTGTATATTTGTTTTTTCAAACAAACCAACGTTTCGGGCCCCTTACAGGTCCCACTGTTGACTGAACCGTGGTTGTGGGACCTTTTTTTTTTTTTTTGTAAAAGGCCCGAAACGTTGGTTTGTTTGAAAAAACAAATATACGTGATTTAAATCCGGAAAAACAGTTTCATTTCCTATATGTAACAATCGCGACACCCTAAGGACTCAAAAGATTTACAATGAGAGGGAGAGATGGGTGGGTTAGTGACGGGTTTTAATCCATTTCTGCCCAAAATCGTGGACAGAAACGGCGAATATGGAATACGGAATAATTCCATACATAAATAGAAAATTTCGATGTTAAAAATCCTTTTTAGACGAAAAAGAGGCAATTCCACATAACTAATACGCAATTTGCAATCCTGTGGATACTAAGGATGCACCAAAGAAAACACACGCCGAAACACAAAGCTCGTATTACTAACTCCAAAATTGGAAATAGAGATAGCCCGCTCTATAGATGCATATTACTTTATAATAAAATACCAGACGCCCTCAAGAAAGTAGAAAGTGACAACACGTTTAAAGCCAAACAGAGGTCTTTCTTGTTAAATGGATGTTACTACAGTCTGGGAGACTTTATAAACTCTCGTATAAGCCCAAATAGTCCAGTTTCTGACATGTAATTTTAAGAGTATTTAATGATCTAAAGTCTATTAATGTTAATTATAAGATACTATATGTATTTGTTCCTAATTATTATTATTATTATTTTTATCTTTAAAAAGAATTAATTGCTGCACCCCAAAGCATTGTTTGCAAATAAATAAATAAATAAAATACCTAACCTTGCCAATAATTTTTTTGTGGAGATATTTTTCTTGACGTAGTACCAGCTAAATTTCGGTTTTTCAAGTGAGTCTCTGTAGTTATTAAATTCATATTTATCCCAAAACTTGAAAATTGCCCAGCGGTTTAACGACACGCCGCGCCGCTCGCTGTTCCATCAGTCGCCATAGGTAGCTCGTCAACGTCGGTTTTGTATCAAATTTTCTCCGCCTGCTCTTGTTTTATTCATATTGGAGGAGCACCTCGCCTCCTAAAACCAGTCTCGCACCTCGGGTTAAGTCGTTCTGCGACATTTTTGCAACACAGCAGCGCATCCGATTCACCGCACTCTTTGTGTTTTTTTTCTTATTTTTTAAATGGACTGACGGCGGAAAAATAGCACGATACCGATGTTGCCATTTTAATTTTTCTAATTGGTAGAAAACAATAAATAAACTGCTAGCAAAACTATAAATAAACTAAACTAATAGAAAATGCAAGGATGCTCACAAAACTATCCATGTCACTGGTCTACTACAGCCAGTCTATTGTAGTTGCAACACAAAATTATTTTTAATGCACATTTTCGTTACACGAGTTTGTGATAATAATAAATAATCACATGTATGTTGATTGTTTCAGCTACATAAGTCAAGCTCCCCGACTGGAGAGGATCGACAAACTCCCTCCGTTGCCAAGCCTTCGCGCATTGTACGTTGTATGTCTATACTTCATTTCTTTTTTTTTATTATAACTGTTACGTGTGTGTTTTTTTTAATGTGTCTGACAACCAGAGTTGTTGCGAATGTCAGCATCTGCATCCGTGGATAATCTGCATGAATTAAAATATTCACATCCGCATTCATTCATGCTGATATTAATTGCGGACGTTCGAGACGTAATATGACTTAAAAGATACGCTGGAATTTACGAATTTTCCAGAAACAAACTGCAAGCCAAAAAAGCAGCTCAGCTGTTGTTTTTATAATTTAACTTTGATAAAATTCCTGAACGATTACACTAGGCAGATTGTTTTCATGCAGACTGATTCTTTTGTTAATAAATGTCACAAAATCATTGAAATAATATTCTATTACAATACCAAAGAAATTAAAAAGCTTTTTATATAGATTCAGTAAAGATGTACATTCATAAATCAATAATGATATGTCGCTCGATTGCAGTTGATAAACATTGTGTCGACTATCGTTACGTCATCTATACAATAAATGTTAGAAATTGTTCCATTTAAATATAAATTAAGATTCATAAAAAATTGTATATAGTAAAAAAATGTCCTTTTGGAAGAACAAGATCGTGTCTTTGTGAAGTACATGTTATGAATTTTTATTTATTTATTTATTCTTCACCTTACATTTATCTTTACAGGTACAATACCCAAATGTTATGAATTGATTTCCTCCTCCGTGTTAGAGTAGCTTGCTCGCCGATTTTCATGGTGTCGCCATCTCTGAGGTCTCGGGTTCGATCCCCGGCCTGGTCCATGTAGAAAAAGTAACTTTTCTTTATTTGTGGTACCGTCATTGTTGCCGATTTCCATAACACAAGGGCTTTACTTACTTACTTTGGGAATAGAGAAACGTGTGTAATGTTGTCTAATACAATTGAATATACATTTTTCGCGTTTTTTTTAATGCTGGTGTTAAAGTAAAAAAATCAGCATCCGTAAAAAATCAGCACAAGCAACAACCCTGCTGACGACCACGACAACCACCTACCTGGTATCACACTATGAAATTCCCTATACTATGTGTGCCTCTCTGGAGAAACATTCTGTATGTACGTTCAGACCAGAACAAATTTAGATAAGTTCATTTCCCAAATTCGTCCTACCGGGAATCGAAGCCTCATCCATCGCACACAACACTACGTAACGGGGCGAACAATTCGAGCGCCTGGTGGTAAACGACACGCTTGTCCATAGCAGTTGCAGAGCTTTAAATTACAAAGGTCTGAAGATCACAATAATAATAGTTTATGTGACTAATACGTAATTATGTACAGTTACATACACTGCCTTATCTATACACATATTATAAGCTCTCTATGATGTGTTCAGGAACCGCAAGTTACGACTGGCGAAATGGCAGCAAATAAAAACTTTTCGCACGCATGTCACGCAACCGTAGTTTTTTTTAATTCATAGACAAACTAGAGTCGGCCCCAACTATGATATCGTTCGATATCAAGTAACGTATGAGATTTGTCAAAATTGTTCGAATGAAATTTCATCTCGACTGATATTAGAATTGAGGTCGAATCAAATTGTTTTGTTTTTCAGAGATGTACGAAATTTGAAAGTAATAATAAAATGGAATTTGATGCAATAACAACATTTTCACAGATAAGAAATTTGTTTTAACAAAATAGTTTATCTTTATACTGGTTGTAATTTGCGATTTTTGAACACGTCATAGAGGGTTTATGATATGTGTGTAGATAAATTATTTTATTAATATTATTATTGCCACTGCGCCCGTCATCCTGTGACATAAATTGACAAGTCCCCTGTGCTTGTACTTTCATCAGCATTCTTACTCTTGAACACCAGACTTATATATTATAAAAAAAAAAGAAATTTATTTTGTGAATTTGTAACGAAAAGTTACGATTTTGACCTTATCCATAAATAATTTGGGAACGAACATTGTTTCACTGTTTCCGGACTGAGTGTTATGGATAATCTTGACCTCGGAACATTGACTTACAAATAAATGGACGACGGGTCTAATACAAAAACCACGAAAAAAATGTCCCAAGTCAACCTATTCGAAATTTAAATTGTTATATCATCGCAGTATCGCGCTGTCCGTAGAACAAATGAAGACTAAAGCGGAGTGTCGCGCTCTGTATACGATTTTAGCGCCTTACAAGTGCGGACACTTTTTAGCGCGGACCCGACGTCCATATAATTGTAAGTCAATGCCTCGGAATGATTTTATTTCTCTGTCAAAGTCAAATGATCTTTATTTCATAGGTAGGTAATAGAGAAGAATGAATAAGAAGCTCTAGAGGTTGCTCGTTATAAATATTGTTTCACTATAGTTTTATATGACGTAAATGGCAAATTTTGAATATCAACTGAAATCTTAATTTTGAAGCGTTACACATTGCCCCTTAAATTGACTTTGTGAAGACGGCTGTCAAGAACAGCGAGTCTATTTTTATTTCTCGAATTAATGTTTATAATTATTTTTAATAAAAATATGATTGTAGGAATGTTAATTTTTTCATCACATATGCACGTAAACAGTATGATTGCATGCCGGCTGGTTTTTTTAGTACTTACTGAGATTATCTAAGTAGACGCATCATTATATTAGACCTATCGGGAAAGTAGACCGCTCGGGAAAGTAGACCGATCGGGAAAATTTACCAAATTTGACTATAATGCCCGAAATAAAACCCTCGGGCTTTTTTTTCTTCTCATTACCATGGCTTATGCGGAGGGAGGGTGGGATAATTAACTGCATGAAAAAATGTTCAACACAAGCGCACCCATTTTGCACGATTTGACGTTCATTGGGTTCGCGGAGTAGCAAATTAATTTTCTTCCATTTTTATGAACATGGACTTCCGCAAAGTAACGCCTGAATCTATTACTTAAATTGATTAGAGCCTCTGTGGCCGAACGGTTACCATGTCGGACTGCCACGCAGAGGTCCCATATTCGATTCCCGGGCCGGGAGAAATATTTGTATGGCCTACATTTATTTCTCTCGTGAGTTTGGGTGTAATTTGTGGTGGTCTATATGTGTGTCCATAACACACAGGGTTTCCCTATTGCGGGGATACGTTGAGTGTGTGCGTTATTATTATTATTATGATATATTGCCATATTCTTTGCAATAAATCTGTTTTCGTGTTGGTTGCAGCGTGGTGCTAACGTCAGGATTAACGGTGGTACCAGACCTAAGCCACGTTCACAAGTCATGCAAGGGCTGCATATTGCAGCGTGTGTGAGTTCATGCTTAATTTATTTATACAAATTTTAACATAGATGTTTTTTATTAGGACTTTTATGAAAGCAAATATTCAGTTATAATTATTAATTTGAAGAGGAAAAAATTTACTATTAAATTTCATATTTAATGATGAATTAATTGACATCCACATTTACATAATATACGGCACCCCTCATGGAAGAATGGCAAAAGTGGAATTACGTCAAACATGTTTATTGCTCCATTAGACTCCAATTGGTGAAGATGTGGGTTATATTTTTCTGTATCTCATGGAGCAAGAAACATGTTTGACATTATTCCACTTATGCCATTCTTCCATGAGGGGTGCGCTTCCAGTCTATCGACAAACGCCATCTAGATATAAGACGGAATCTGTATAGTATAGAGATTAGCAGTCCGCTTCAATTATTGGTCCACGGTATTAGACATCTAAACAACTGAATAGTTGTAATTAACGCTAGAGATGAAACGGATAGTGGTTTGGCCGGATACCGGATTCCGGATAACTCGGTAAGCACCAAGGTAGGATAGCCGGATGTCCGGCCGCCGGATATCTGACTCACTGCCGTAAACGTGTCGCGACCAGTTTACATCGCGCATCACTGTGATTGATTAATTAGTGAACGATTGCACTTTCACTTTTTGCAACACAATGATTGCAATTTCACAATGATGTTTTTTTGTAAAAACGATTAATTTATTCGATAATACAAACAAATACATAACAGAAAAATGTTATCAATATAAAAAAATGGCAAAGTTGGATCAATTTATGAAAATAAATATCACCAACTTTAACCACTTAACGCAGAAAAACTGGTCTTCATCCACTATAATTTGCCTTTATTGAAATTTGAGTATATTAAATTATACAGATAACGTTATTACTAATTTCATAGTTCTTTCAGATACAAGTAATGAACAGATTGTCAACGATCCTGTAGTTGCTGCATGTTCTATTACTATCATCTTTAATTAATAAATTAATTTATTTGGCGTTACTGATTAGTTTTGCTCAGTTTTAAACATCCGGTGTGTACCGGATGTTTAAAAGTTTTTAAATATCCTATAATATAAAGTGTTTAAGTTGCCGGATACTGGTCTACTATCCGGTATCCGGCCGGATAGTAAAAATAGGCCAGATAGGCTAGGATACCGGATAGTTACCGGATATCCGTTTCATCTCTAATTAACGCCCTCCGTGAGAAATCTATTTCTTCACTCAACCAAGGTACCTTTACAGCTGCCAGCAGCTGATTAGAGATGTCGTTTTAATAATTGTAATTTTGTTAAGTTTATTGAAATTCAAAGTGTTTTACTACTATGATATTCAATTACTTTTTCGTGAAATTACTCCACTAGTTTGTTATAATTATTAATACAAGATCGAACGCTTAGAAAAACATTCCTTCGATCCGGCTGGATTCTAACCAGCGTCTTCTAGCAAACCGTGTTAGATGCTATGCCAACTAAGCCCCGGAAAGTACCAGCGGACCTTACGAAGTTTTCTATGTGCTTGTTGCATATCTTTGTTTATGGTTTTTAACGACTTTTTTACCGTAGCGCCATCTGTGAGAAATCCGCCGCCGGCGCAACACATCGAGTGGCCATCGCTCTTATTTTGCGCAAGTGAAACAACGTAGATAAAAAACTTATCTCTTATTTCAGGGATTTTGAAGGCAACCACATACGTCATTTGCCGAAACATGCTCTACGCCTAAACGCGGATCAAGTGTAAGTCCTTAGGTACACACGAGTATGCTATTTCTTATTTCGTTTTCTACGCTTGTCTTGTGTGTGTTACTAATGCCTTAAATTCGCTTTGTGAACAAGTTTTATTTCTATTGGTGTAGTTTTATCATTTCGTGTTTAATTTTATGCACTCCCGGACCCGGACACATAATTCGAGTCACCTTGCATTTTCATGCCCTAAGTTTAAAGAATCTTTGATTGATCAATAGTATTTTACGCAATCGTTGCATAATGTGGCCTAAGTAATAGGTACGATATTTTAAGACCTAATTATGTAATGATTGCATACAATACTTTTTGTACGACTAAATAAAATAATGAAACAGATCCAATATTTAATGTATATTCTGTTAACCATAACGACAACGCAATTTTTTAAATAAATTTTAATCCATTTATTGTATATTAGAGTATACACATACTCTAAGATTTAGTCGAAAGCCAAACAAACGCTATAAAACAAAAACCAAAGAGATAGGTGTATTCACACCTGGCCAAGTGCCGCATAAATTTTAACCAAACATTTTTTTAATAAAGAATCATGGCTTTGTTGCACTTTTAGGCCAATTTAACCAATAAGGAATTATAGCGTTTGAGTAGCGACTATTTTAATTAGCAAAATACGACTTTCTTTTTTTTGAAACTTTTCATGAAATTATATTTATTTGACAGATAAAAGTACTTTAAGAATTTTGAAAATAATGGCGAACTAAATTTCATTTCTATAAGAAATTGCAATTGAAAATTTGAATTTATAAAAAACAAACTTTTTCTTCGATGATTACAATATTTTCGTTTTGTAGCTCCTTAAGAATGCGAATTCAAGGTGGCTCGAATGGTGTATCGGGGAGTATATATGTAAACATAGAGCCGATTAAGATAAAAAATTTTAAAAGCATTAACATGGTGTTGCGTAGCAAGGTTTGTGCAACAAATGACAACGTCGGACGGAATCCTTCGATTCTCGCTTACGCAGTAAATGTTGATGTTTTTTCAATGACGAATTCACACCCAGATGACGAAATAGAGGCGATGTAGGAGATCTCAAAAGCCATGCATAGCTACAAAACCCACTAGGGTACATGGTTTTGATGGGGAACTTCATTGCAAAGTTGGGAAAGCGTTGCGGTGATGAGCTGAGAGTGGGCCAATTTGGACAACGGAACGCCGGATGTTGGTTGATTTCATGGAAAAGGAGACCCTCTCTATGATTAACACCTTTTTCAGGAAATCTCCTACTCGAAAATAGACCTGGATGAGTGCGGACGGTAAAGTGAAAAATGAGATTGCTTTATCATATCAACAAACAATGAGCGGAATAAAGGCTCCAAGGTATTCGCGAGAGATCTGTCTATTGGGCAAAGCCAACTGACGAAGCTGAAAACTGATGACGGTAGCATCATTTCATCTAAGCCTGAAAACCTGAAGGAGACAGAGAGTTTCTATCGACAGCTATACTCTACGAAAGCATCTGTTGAAAGCGAGGCTAAAGATCCAAGTTTACCTGACATTATACCGAAGACATCCTGGCAGTCAGCCTGTATGAGATTAGTATGACTCTCAAACAACTCAAGAACTTCTGACAGCAGGCGGCAAGCCGATACCTAAAGTCCTTCAGAAGCTTTTCAATGCTGTCATCGTCGAAGATCAAACGCCGAACGCATGGGGCAGAAGCGAGGTCGTCCTGTTCTTCAAAAAGAATGATAAAACACTCTTGAATCTCGCTTCTGAGCCATATCTATAAGTTATTTTCGAGAATTATCACGAATCGTCTCGCTTGCAGGTTTGACGACTTCCAACCTTCCGAAAAACCCAGTTTCCGAAAGGGTTGTAGTACCATTGACCACATCGATACGCTGCGGCAGGTTATACAGAAGACCGAGGAGTATAACCGGCCACTTTGCTTAGCATTTATGGACTATGAGAAGGCCTTTGATTCGATCAAGACCTGGGCGGTGCTGCAGCATTTCCAAAGGTGCCATGTAGACTATAGGTATATCGAGGTGTTAAGGTACTTATACGAAAACGCCACTATGTCAGTCCGATTACAGGATCAGAGCTCTAATCCTATCCAACTGCAACGAGGCGTGAGACAGGGAGATGTGATATCTCCGAAACTGTTCACTGCTGCGTTGGAGGATATTTTCAAACTTCTGGACTGGAAAGGACTTGGCATCAACGTCAATGGCGAGTATCTAACTCGCCTTCGATTTGCCGATGATATAGTTCTTATGGCTGAGACCTTGGGAGACCTGAATACAAGGCTCGAATATCTCAGTGGCGTTTCCTAAAGAGTGGGTCTTAAGATGAATATGGACAAGACGAAGATCATGTCGTATGTCCGTGTTGTACCCGCTCCTGTTAAAATTGGGAGTATTACACTCGAAGTTGTTGACCATTATGTATACCTGGGGCAGACAGTCCAGTTAGGTAAGTCCAGCTTTGAGAAAGAGATCTCTCGTCGAATCCAGCTCGGATGGGCAGCGTTCGGGAAACTACAAAAATCTTTGCGTCCAAATTACCTCAGTGTCTCAAGACGAAAGTCTTTGACCAGTGTCTGTTGCCAGTGATCACGTATGGATCAGAAACGTGGTCCCTCACTATGGGCCTCATAAGAAGGCTTAAGGTTACTCAGCGGGCAATGGAGAGAGTGATGCTCGGTATTTCCCTACGTGATAGAACTAAGGTAACCGACATAGCTCTAGGAATTGCTCAGCTGAAGTGGCAGTGGGCGGGGCACATAGCTAGGAGAACCGATGGCCGTTGAGGCGGAAAGGTCCTTCAATGGCGATCGCGCACCGGACGACGCTCAGTGGGTAGGCCCCCGACCAGGACCGACAATCGACGATGCGAGCAGCACAGGACTGATCGCCGTGGAGATCGTTGGGGAGGCCTATGCCCAGCAGTGGGTGTCGTATGGCTGAGTGATAATGATGATGATTTTTTCCATAGATCGGTGTACAGGGAGTCCAGTCCCATTCTCCATCCGACATCCGCCCGAAACTCCGAAACAATTACTGTCAAATAAGTAATACTCGACCAGATCATCATTTATGATCCTCATTTGTTTCGGACAGTTGTCGGACGGAGAACGGAACTAAAACCCCAGGACCGGATAAAAAATTTGAGCGCTCCTGGTTACACGGGTATTTTTTTAACTGCCTCAGTGGCCGAACGGTTACCATGCCGGACTGCCACGCAGAGGTCCCAGGTTCGATTCCCGGGCCGGGAGAAATGTTTGTATGGCTTACATTTATTTCTCTCGTGAGTTTGGGTGTAATTTGTGGTTGTCTATGTGTGTGTGTGTCCATGGCACCCGCGACACAGGGTTTCCCTAGTGTGGGGCTATGTTGAGTGTGTGCGTTATTTATTGACGAACAAGTCGGCTGATGGTAAGCTACACGCTACCCATAACTGTTGCATTGTCACTCAGTGCTTTAAATCACAAAGATCTGAAGGGCACTGCCACTGCGCCCGTCACTCTGGGACGTAAGTTGACAAGTCCGAAGTACCTGTAATTTCACCAGCTCCCTTACCCTTAAAAACCGAAACGAAGTAATGCTTACATGGCTTGGCGGCAAAGAATAGATAATACCACTTATTTATGTACTTATTCCTGAACGAACTCTGTCACAAAGAGCTGTACTGTAAATCGATATTAAAGTTACCTCGGTTAGTATACGTAAGTAAAAGTGTGACTTAGTTATTATCAGAGATATACTGCTTTTTCGACTAATTAAATAATGTGTCTAATACTATCAAATATGCACGAAGTTAATTACTACAATAAGTGGCTAATCCAACAATGATAACATTGAACTATCTCTTAATTTTTATCTACGATACGGTTTTAATGACTAAATTGGTATAACAGACTAAACAGATTAACTTCATTAATGGGAAACTCGAGGAAAGATTGACCTCGTTCATGTCTCATTCAAATTTAGAAAATTTTTAAAAAGGCCAAGTTAAAATGACATGTATGAACAATTTGATGCTAGAGAAGGACGTGAAAGAAGTTGGTGAAATTGCAGGCACTTGAGACTTATGTCTCAGGTTGACAGGCGCAGTGGCATTATCTCTCAGATCCTTGCGATTTAAAGCTCATTGGCACTGGCAGATATAAGTGTGTGTTTGTTTTTTAGTTGATATTAAATAAGATATCAATGTATGTCTATGAGTAAATAAATTGTATTTTTAAAATATTTATCAATAGTTTTTCTTTTTGTTATATTAATGATGGTGGCTGAAAAGGAGTCCTTTATAAAAGGTCATTAGACTGCTGCCACTAAGCCCACAATGACCTTTTTAATACAGTTGCTCAAAACGTGGTATTTTTCGTATTACAAATCGTGCCGAAAGTTGGATTTTTCGCACTAGTGCTTTTTATTTTTCCATTTTTTTTACTTTACTGTTGTTTCAAGTCTTAAACATAGAACTCAGGAGGTTGTATATTTATTTAATATTTATGTGCTTTGTGACGTAAGTCATTCGTCATCAAAACTTATATTTACTTAGAAACATCTTATTTGTTTAAATGGCATAGGTGTTTTATAAAACAACGGGTTACAAATACCAAAATATTTTCCATAAAGATGACTGATTGAGTATTAATAATGACCGGACGTGAATATTACGCGTTATCAGACAAAGAAATAAAATGAGTTTTTTTCTATATACTGTTTTATTTTACTTTTCAATGTAGTTTTTTTGCAAATGTATTAAAAAAACGTCGTTTGATACACGTGCGGCTTTGTCATTTGTCATTGCGGCGCATACACGCCGCAGACGCGCTGTAGAAGAGATGGTTTTAATTTTAGTTTCGTTTGTTGATTTCAGTTACTTTTTGAAATGAAGCAACCACATGAAATTCTAAGTGTAAACTCTAGTTTAGTATAATATAAGTTTCCTGCTCGCAACGCGATGTTTGCGTTTGAAATGTTTCGTTCGTTCACCTTTGCAAATACATTTCATTGTCATTGTCGGGTCTCGCATTTTAAGTACCTAGGACACTGGGTGATGGAGAGCCTGTCTGACGACATGGACATTGACAGGGAGCGCAGGGCGTTGGCAGTAAGGTGCAACACCCTCGCCCGCAGGTTTGCACGTTGCACAAGAAACGTAAAGCTCACGCTTTTTAAAGCATTTTGCCAATCTTTTTACACGTGCAGCTTATGGGTCAAGTGTATACAGAAAGCGTATCGCGCCCTGTGCGTCCAGTGTAATGACGCTCTCAGAGTGCTGTTGAGGTTGCCAGGCTACTGTAGCGCTTCGGGACTGTTTACCGAGGCTTTAGTGCCATTTTGCGGAAGCGGGTAGCGTCTCTAATGCGCAGAGTGCGGGGCAGCGCCAATGGCTTTCTTCGTACAGTGGCCGATACGAACGATGAGCTCAAATTATATCAATGGGTGCGGGTATACGTCAATGTTTAGAGGATTTTTTATTAACATAGTTTGTAAGTATTTTGTTACTAAGACTATATCGATATTTTGACCGAAATAAAGATATGAATTTGAATTAAAATCCGCCATTTTTTTGTATCTGTGGCAAGGTCTTTGAGTTTCTGGTCTGCGTATAATACTTGTTACAAATGAACAGTTTTGGTTTGTTTCAGGTCGCTAAATCTAAATTTGATTGAGGAAGTACCAGCGCATGCTTTTAAACAAGCAAATATTAGTAAGTTGTGAGTATTCTGTTATTAATAATCGATCCCAGGGACAAGGCATTTAAATCCTTTTTGCATTCTTATTTGTCGTAAAATAAAACTAGACTTAAGGTGCTTTTCCACCAACGAGACGAGACGAGACGAGAATTGAAATCTCCCTGGTCTACTTACATCAGTGATTGCCATTAATAGCTGCTGAATTTGTGGATAATAAAATAAAAAATATTGAAAAACCAACAGAGTAACATTTACTTGATAAATTTAAAAAATCTATTTTAAGAACCGACTACGCACTCCTTAATTATCAATATATCAATATGTTAACGAAGAGGAAAGCCATCTTTTTTTTAATCTTAAATCGTATCCCACAAGCTCACGATTGATATTAATACCCATCGCGTGCTTTAGCTGGATGTCGAGTGAGACGTGTTTCCGTAGCAGAGTTAATTAACTCTACGTAGGCAGCAACGACACGATTCAATATTACACCAACTCCTCGTCATATCCTCACCATTTTCATCGAATATGAGCTAGGAGAGATATGTATTTTTTCCATATAAATTTCAATTCACCAGTAGTGAAAAAGCGCCTTAATAAGAGAATGGGAGAATGGTTAGTTCTCAATTGTGAGGTCAATGGTTTATATCGTAACGTAGTACATTTATATTTGTGTGTTGTACTTTTAGTAGCAAAGGTAACTTTCGCTAACGATGACGGAATACATCGTGATAAACCCTGTCTATCGAAGAAGATTCCGTAACCCTTGGGAACGTGGGACAGCGCTGAAAACTGTGGCCTAAACCCTCATTTTAGAGGTGATCTGTGTCCAGACAGGACGAACACGTAGTAGTGTCACGCCTGTTCGACAGTTGCAGTACCACTCAGAGCTTTAAGTCACAAAAAGCCTCTGCGTCCGTTAGTCCCTTAATGTGCCTGTAATTTGACCCACAAAACCGGAGCCCCCTTACCCTTCAAAACCGGAACGCAGTAAAGCCCATATTATAGGTAAGAAATAGGTAAGGTGTTAGTATTTCCCTGGACCAACTCTTACAAGGAGCACCAATGCAACTAAACCGAAGCCATAAAGTGATGGGAGATGATAAGATTCCGTCACGTAAATCCAATAAAAAAATATGCAATAATAATCAATGCAAAACTTTTTTTCAGAAGTTTCCGAGGTAACGAGAAGTTGAAAATACTCGACGAGCACGCTTTTGCTGGCATAATCTTCTTAAAACAGTTGTAAGTAAAATTTAAAGGTTGACAAGTTGTACGCGCATTTCAGTCGTCGTCATTTTGGAAAAAATACTGAAATTAAGACCAGAAATCATTAGATTCGCTCTGGACCTTTTGGAAGGAAAAGTGTCGTTTTTATTTTAACTTTCAATTATTTTGTGAAATCTAGTTTAAAGTGGAATAGGATAGTGCTATTGTGCCTTAATCGAAGAATAAAACTCATCAATACGTTGTCAATTTGTTAGTTTCCTTAACTACCTCTAATAACTGATTACTAAATATGTATGTCCCTACAAAATGTATGGTAAAAAGTTTTTGCGATTTCTGACATTTCGAGTACTCTTACCTCAGTTGGTCCCATGTAGACTTTTGATCCTTAACAGAGACCGGATCGAATGGCACAAAAAAAAAGTTTTGTAAAAATTGCCTTTTATCTGCTGACTGTACCATTTTTCCAAAATCTGTGAATGCCAATCAAAATATCTTCAAAATTCATGGATAGTCTTCTAGAACCGTTTTCCTGTAACTACAACGATGAAGATGGCTGGCCTTGCTGCCCCGTCTCAAATTTACACCCTGTGTAGCGTATAAGTTTATTTGAAAAGAGCAATCCCTAGAGTTTCTTATATAATATACAGTTTGAATCATATTTGTGTGGAATTTAGACTCACGTTGTCTTTCCATACATCATTATCTAACACATAGATAGTTTACAATTTTGTAATATGATTTTTCAATTAAAATACTTTTACATAGGGCGCACTACAAGTTTCCGGAACTGGCCACTTACAAAAACAATATTTAAAAAGTAATTACAGCATTTCAAAATGGGACTCTTTGGCTGTAGAACACAGTTTGTTTCATCAGACTGTCATTTGTTTTTACATAGTGGCGTCATTTTAGAAATTGGTTGTCTACATCTCCATGGATTTAACTCGTGAAAATTTTCGTAGTATGATTTTCTACAACTTTAAGTGTAACTTAACAGCTTAGCGGAGCTTCGCTCGGCTTCAAACTGCTTTTGGCGATGAAGCACCATGCAAGACGACTATTTATAGCTGGTTTGCAGAATTCAAACGCGGTCGTGTGAATCTCAGTGACGAATTTCGTGATGGTCGCCCGTCCACTGTTGTAAACAACAAAAACATCGATGCTATGCGCCGTGTGATCAAAACAGACAGGCATGTGACGTACCATGAGATTCGGGCATCTTTAGGCATAGGCATGAGTCATTTATACAATCAATACTACACAAACATTTGGGTGTGAAAAAGCTGTGCTCTCGGTGGATCCCACACAATGTGACTGAGGCACAAAAAACAAATCGCGTCACTTGGTGCAATGTCATGCTTACCAGATTCGACAAAGGGGCGTCAAATTTGGTGTAGGACATAGTAACAGGTGAGGAAAAATGGATTTATAGTTACGATCCCAAAACAAAGCAGCAATCGAGCGCATGGGTCTTTCGAGATGAGCCCAAACCAACCAAAGTGGCGCGCGTGCAAAATGCCTCTGAGCGGATGATTGCTTCTTTTTTTAATAAAACTGCACACGTGGCTACGTTGCTTTGAAGAATCTTTGTACCGTGAATAGTGATTGGTAGACAACCATATGTTTTCCGGAAGTAATTGACAAACTTCGTAAAAATAACCGTAGACACCGTATCATCTTGCACCACGAAAATGCCAGTTCTCACACGGCCAGACAGACAAATGAATTTTTGAAGGTGAACAACGTTGACCTTATAAGCCATCCCGCGTACAGTCCCGATCAAGCACCTTGTGAATTTTATTTATTTCCAAAAATTAAGAACCAGTTACGCGGTCAAAGATTTTCATCACCTTGAAGAGCCTGTCGAAGAGTATGAAAAATATGTTTCAGAGATTGTCACGGAAGAGTGGCATAAATGTTTTCAAAATTGGTTCATTCGTATGAAAAAGTGCATTAACGCTAACGGGGAATATTTTGACAAATAATAAATTCATTTCTGACCATTTATAGTATTTTTTTCTTATTCATTCCGGAAACTTATATTGCGCAACTTATAGTGTAAAACTGGTAACCTTAATATATGCTCCGGGATCTTATTGTAAAAACGTATACAGTTCCTCATAAAATAATCGTTTACCTTAGTTGAACGAAATCGTGGTACCATGAGTTTGGCCTTAGTTCTAAGGTTAATACTATAGATATCTTCTTTCTTAACGAAATTATGTATATTTTTACGGGAATACAAAAAATATTTGAGTAAATGTACTGTGATACCAAAGTCATGATACCAGTTTCCTTAAACTTTTATCTGAGAGAAACCCGAGAACCTAAACGGTACACAGATCAATGGTAACCAATGACACTGAGCTTCCATTAGTTAAAATAACCACGTGACAATTATTGACCGCCTTGTTTATAAGTTTCCTTATGAATAAGGTGCTTTGGATAGGTCGCTATTATTGGAAACCATTGAATTGTATAAATACCTTTTCTTCGCAGAGATCTATCAAATACAGCCATAACAACGCTGCCAAAAGCTGGTCTTGAAACTCTGGAGATACTCAGAATTGAAAACACGCCTTCGTTGAAATACATTCCGTCTACTTACAATATGCAGGTTAGCAATGTTTAATTTAAAAACATAAAATTAAATAAAATCAAACTAAGTGTAAATTTTGAGGGAAATTTCATGCAATAAGTAATTTTTAGTAGCAGTAGACCTCGTTGTGAAAGAGTTCGTTGAGGGAAGTAGGTACTGCCACCTTACCTATTTCTGCCGCCGTTTCGGTTTGTTCACTATCTTGGCGCCAGGTTCAAGGGATCAACGTGTTGTTTACGCAGTTCCTCAGGCAATAAAAACAGAGCAGTAATGCGAGACTTATAGATGCATATAGCTCCAACCAGTAAAAATATATTCGCATTGTAGAGGTCGTCAGAACCTCGTTACCCACCTTCACATTCGTAATAATGTATACAGTAGGAAATGAAACTATTTTTCCGGATTTAAATCGCGTATATTTGTTTTTTCATACAAACCGACGTTTCGGGCCCTTTACAGGTCCCATGGTCACGGTTGACAGTCAACCGTGAGAAAAAATAGTTTCATTTCCTATATGTAACAATCGCGAAAACCTAAGAACTCGAAATGTATACAGTTGTAATAGATTACGGTATTACTTTTTTTTTAATTTTCCTGATATTTCGGAACGGTTGCACGCTCCATGGTCACGGGTTGACTCAACCCAACCAGTCAACCCGTGACCATGGAGCGTGCAATCGTTCCGAAATATCGGGAAAATAAAAAGAACATACCGTGGTAAGAAACCTGATACTAGTGATAATCTTTTAGTGAATAACCACGAAAGTCTTAAAATATATAAAATATAGTTGCTGCGGAACCGATCAAAAAGAAATGAATAAGGATCGGGAGGAGGATTTATGATTTCAAACGACCCACGGTTTAGACGAACAAGGCGTGCTCATTACTGTTTGGCGGAAGAAATAGGTAAAGCAGCAGTACCTAATTGCCTGCGTCCGCGGAAAGAGCCGATCGCCGGGGCGAGTGGCGAATCTTACCGGGGTCCCACGAACCGGCACCGGTGAGAGAGGATGTATACACAGGTTTTTAGTGGGTAGGCCTCCGAGGATCTATCGGGCGAGCTTTACTCGACGGGTGGGTCCACGGAGGAGAGTTATCAATGCATTTTACTGTGTACAAAAAAAAGTACCTACTTGCCTGGACGAAATACATAGACTTACTTCATAAGGAGCTCTACTGCTATTAAATAATAGTAGGTACCTAAGAGTAGGTAGAGTAATATAACTCAAAGAAAAAATGAACGACATAAGTAATTTAGTTGGATATAATCATTGACTTACAATTCTATGGACGTCGGGTCCGCGCTAAAAAGTGTCCGAACTTATAGGGCGTTAAAATCGTATACAGAGCGTCATTCGGGCTTTAGTCTTCGTTTGTTCGACTGACAGCGAAGCAAGCAAAATTAGACAGTACTGCGATGACATTACAATTTAAATTCAACGTTTTAGCTTTTTCATATTCCTTTACATGTCACTACGTTTAAATAGGTTGACTTGGGACATTTTTTTCGTGGTTTTTGTATTAGACCCGTCGTCCATTTATTTGTTAGTCAATGGATATAATAGTTCTTTTCATATTTCTTCTTCCAGAACCTGCAGACGGCAATTTTAACACATCACTTCCATTGCTGTGCGTTCAACTACCCAGAAATCCATGACCCAGAGGGACATGAACATTACATTGAGAAATATAAAATGATGAAAGAGGTAAGTAATATTTAGAACCGTCAACGCTTGAATGTGTATAATTCCAGCCAGCCATTATATCACCCCTTGAAATACATTTCAACTAAAGTAATAAAACAATTTAACGAAATGTGTCACGTACTAGGAAACACTTTAGATTTGCTATGACAAAGAAGTAATTAATATTCTATCACAAATACTCGTGTATTTTGTTTTTGGTTATGGGCCCAACGCCTTTCGGTGCGTTCAATAGTCACGCAAAGAAGGAAAAATGTCACTTTAGACCAGGGTCATAATTATATATTTTTTCATAATTATTCGAGGTATTTCCGATACTTATCCAAGCTAATTCATAGTTTTATCATCTTATTTTTGGACTAAAGTGACAAACAGTGAGAAAACGAAATATTTCAGAAAATTCTTTGGGAAAACGATTTGGTTTGAGACTTTTTTGAGGTTGATATTTGACACGTATGGATACGTCTCGCATACATGGACACACATATTTCTCAAGATAATTATCGTGATAATTAACATAAGTGTCGTGATCATTATCAAAAATAATTATCACTTCGAACGCTGCTTTAAACAAAAAGAGTAATTTTTTCAGGCATGTGAAAAAAACAATGAAAAGATGAAAGAAAGCCAGCGCGTTGCGATGTTGAAACGACAACGACGTTCTTTAGAGCCTATTAGGGCAATATCATATTACAAACATGGAACTGAAGTCAGGTAAAATCAATATTATATGAGATATTCAATTTGATAGCAGGTATTTTATCTAATAATAAGTGACTAGATACCCAATACAAACAAAAATAATAGTTGAAGCTACATTATTGGGACGACATAGGTAGGTACCTTCTACAACAAGGATGCACAGACTTATTAAGACTAGGGGCCACTCGGGCAAATCATGAATTGATGGCGGGCCGTCAGAAGTATAGGTAATTAAAGACAATAAAGAATTGATAATAATGTATTAAAATTGAAAAATAATTTATTAATTTGAAGCGTGGCACTGCATAGTGCTTACAATCTTTTTTATATTTGGCTCAAATTTACTTGTAGCAACACGTAAAACTGCTTCCAAACTTTCATTTGCAAGGCGGTTTCGATTTTTTGTTTTATTATTATTTAGTATTGAAAAAGTTTGTACGAAAAGAATGTACGAGAGTATTATTTTGCTGTCGGCGGGCCACCAGTATTTCACCGGCGGGCCGCGGTCTGTGCATCCCTGTTCTACAATATTTCGATAACTCTAATTAACCTACGACGCCGACTTTATGTCTTTGGACATTTTCTGTTATATTTATATATTTATTATTTAAATTTAGAATTTTGTGGAAAAAAAATCAAAAAACATTTCGAAAACAAACAAAAAACGAATTTTGTGATAAAGAAACAAAAAACAACATAAAAACAGAACAAGGTCCAAAAATTAAATTTGCGAAGTGTTCATTGGAGGTATCGATTTAATGCTTCAAATAATGTTGCAAGCAAAAATAGTAAATACGGAAGAAAACGAAAACATCCTGAGTTCTACATACTCTATTCAAGTTCCTCACCTAATTTAAGTTATGATGAACTTACTAACCAATAAATTTCTTCACCGACGCAGAAGGTTAACAGGATGGAATAGTACCTATATAATTGGGTTTGGTCTCATTTCAGTCAACGCTACAATGCAGAAGATATAGCGACTACAGTTGAAGGTTCTCCTTCAGAATCTTCCGAAGAATACGACTTCCAATACCCTGATTACGCGGATGACAATTTCCTCGAGAGCGCTGTTAACAGCACTAACGTCTATTCTGTGGCAGATTGTACGATTACTGGCAAGTAAGTACACAAGGGTACTTTCAAGACTACGTACTTTGTACTGCATTCAACTGTTAAATTGGAACTGCACGCCAATTGCACACCGACTGCACTATCGTGCATTCAAACTGCAAATTTGCAGTCGGAGTGCAGTCTGTTTGTCTAGAGCCTAACTGGTAGTTCTTTCTAAAATCGTTGAAATATTAGCTACTATTATAAACAAATATCACAAATTTCTTGGCATTTATCAATGTGAATCTGCTTTTTCAGGCGCCCGAAAATAAATTGCACACCCGTACCAGACGCGTTAAACCCCTGCGAAGATGTTATGGGATGGACATGGCTACGGATCTGCGTGTGGATTGTCATAAGTGCTTCTGTCGTCGGCAATATCGCTGTTTTAGTAGTTCTGCTAACCAATCATTCTGAACTCAATGTTGCTAGATTCCTTATGTGCCATCTTGCATTCTCAGATCTCTGTACAGGAATTTACCTTTTTATATTAGCCGTTGTAGATCTAAAATCGTTCGGAGAGTTCTTTAATTACGCTTTCGATTGGCAATACGGTGTGGGCTGTAAAATAGCTGGATTCTTGTCTGTTTTCTCTGGACAATTGTCAGTATTCACGCTAACTATAGTAACGTTCGACAGATTGTTCGCCATAAAGTATGCAATTTATTTGGAGAGACGAATATCTCGTATGGCTGCTGTAAAAATAATGATCGGGGGTTGGTTATTTTCAATACTAATGGCAGGGTTGCCTTTGATTGGCGTTTCAGATTATTCTTCAACGTCAATTTGTCTGCCAGTAGAGAGCGATAACATTGGAGTTAAAGTATATCAGGGATCATTGTTCATGACCACCGCTGTGGCTTGGGTGTTGATAGTAATCTGCTATGTGCAGATTTACAGATCTTTGGGAGTGGGCTGTGAAAAGTATGGTGGGAGAGGATCAGCGGCAGCAGCCGAGAGGAAAATAGCGAATAAAATGGCATTACTTATAGGCACAGATTTGATGTGTTGGGCGCCAGTTGCGTTTTTTGGCGTGACTGCGTTGGCGGGCGCACCTCTTGTAGATGTCAGTCACGGGAAAGTTTTGTTGGTGTTCTTCTATCCACTGAACGCTTGCGCGAACCCGTTCCTATACGCTATACTGACAAAACAGTACAGAAGTGACTTAATAAAGCTGATCGCGCGAACTGACATGTGCAACTGGCTGGTTCAGAAATATAAATTAGCAGCCACTCCGCCCCCCACCGCGCAAACAAACCCCTCTGCCCCCGCGTTGCTCCCGTTGGTGGAGTATCAAAGAGAACAATCGCAGATTAGCAAGAATGGAGAAGCAATGCTTTAAATGTTTTAGAATAAGTAGCTGTAATTATATTGATGATATTATTATAGGATATTTATACAATACTTTCTTTTATTACCCGATCTCTTTTACTAGCTGTAGAAATTGTCCTACTCTGCTTATACAGGGTTTATATATTTAAATCTATTAATATCTACATGCTACCTACCTACTCTGCTTATAAAAGCAGAGTAGGTAGGTAGCATGTAGATATTAATAGATTTAAATAGATCGCTCTAAACGGTAATAACTCTACGCAGGACAGAGGTGGGAGTCGTCGCGGAGGACGCGTGCACGTTTGAGCTTACCTTACTACCAAATACAGACCACAAACACAAGACAACGAAAACTTAACAGTTTGTTTTTGGTAAATTTATTAGTGACCGTCAGGATGGCTGGTCGCTTGTAGCATCTGGCACTGAATGTATATTCAAGAATTGCTACCTTATTGCTACTCTTTGCTACCTTTTCTAAATAATTGCTACCTTTGATATATTCTGAAAAATTAAAAACAATAATTGACCAGCCATTCTGACGTCAGGATGGCTTGTCGCCACTTTGTTCAGCATGAAGGGAGCAGATTTTCCAGAAGTGTGTATTAAAAATAATTGCTACTTTCACGAATTAAAGGTATACGCTTCTTACCTGTAAAAATACTAGTCGAGATTATAAACTTTGGAAAGTACCTACTTCTACCGCCAAGTGGTGTATGTAACTCACGTTACTATGTGTATGTAACTCACGTTACTATGTGTATGTAACTCACGTTACTATGTGTATGTAACTCACGTTACTATGTGTATGTAACTCACGTTACTATGTGAGTTACATACACGGCTTGTTAGTTCCGTCATTTTGTATCATATAAAAACGAATACTAAGACTGTTTATCGAGTTCTTAGGTTTTCGCGATTGTTACACATAGGAAATGAAAAGATTTTTCCGGATTTAAAATCAAATAGAAAAAAAAAATCCGGCACAATAGTTTCATTTACTAAGACTGTCTTTTTAAAGACTTGAAAAATCCACGCCGATTTCATGCCGCCGCTGCACGATATTGCAATCGGGGCGCGTGTCTAACACCTACCACAAAGTAACGTACACACACGGGGAAAATAGAAACAAACTTTTAACTTTGCTAAAAAAAATATATCGCACTGTTAATACAATAGTGTATAAATTCAAAAAGTGTATTTTAGAATCGCTGAAAAACGAATTACTCCCTTCCAGCGAAATATTATTAATATGTATGTATAGGACAAAGTTTATTTATTACAGACATTGACTTACAAATAAATGGACGACGGGTCTAATACAAAAACCACGAAAAAAATGTCCCAAGTCAACCTATTCGAAATTTAAATTGTAATGTCATCGCAGTATCGCGCTGTCAGTAGAACAATTTAAGACTAAAGCGGAGATAGCGCTCTGTATACGATTTTAGCGCCTTACAAGTGCGGACACTTTTTAGCGCGGACCCGACGTCCATATAATTGTAAGTCAATGATTACAGACATCTAAATAATTCCCGACTTGCCAAATAAAAAGAAAAAAATAACTTAATATTTTTTAGAAACTTATTTATTAAGACTGTTTTATCCAGAACTAGTTCGCAAAAAGTTTGTCTCATTTTGAGTTAAGTAGATTTATTTTAATTGTTAATACTATAATCTTGAATTTCACATATTTTGAGTTACAACACTATTGTATTAGCAGTGCGATATGTCAAAAAGCCCTATACACTTGATTATAAATAAAACACCAGCTAAATAAAATTATTTATGAATATACTAAATAAATATAAAATTATTTTACACTGATATAAAACGACTCATCCGAAGAACAGAGTCCGATGTGATTATACAGCGAAAATACATATAAATATGTAATATCATTATTCAAACCAAGGCCTAGCTATAGGCGTTTTTTTAGAGTATTTACCTTATTTCGTTTCGGAAATATAAAATCGAACAACGATCGATCTGATATCCACAGCGAAAAACACCGAACACTACAATGTTCTGAGAATAAGCAGTCCTGCACATAGGACTTTGTTCTATGGATGAGTCGAAATATTATTCAATCAATAATTCTAAATAGAAACACATTCTTATCATGATATTAAAAATATCTGAGCACTGTCTTCCAAAGTACTTAACACACTGGTAGCAATATATTCAACAATAATTTTATCACCTTCCAGTAATATTTCTTGCTTTATCAACTCACTTAACTCCACATCCATTTTTAATGGACTTATGCAATACCCATCCAACTGACGGAATATTCTTAATTTAACGTCCCCTTGTTTATTATTTTCATTTTTTATGTTACAAGAATCACAAATGCTGTCTATAGACCGTCCTAGAGTCCACTGAGAGCTTATAAAGACCGGTACAGTGTCTTTTAAATCGGGATCTAAAGTTAATGATTCAATATAATCAATATTGTTGACATCTTTAATGATTTTAACAGATTTTGCCTCCATGTTGTTAGGTTTGCCAATTGCAAAGTATACTCTGTCTTTAACGGGTATAGATTTGGGACCGATTGCCTTTTGTTTTATTCTCATAAGATGAATTTTGGCTGCAGTTTTCACTTTTGCCGATGATTGTAATGCTTTGCGGATGTTTTCTGTTATCTGTAAATTGGAGTTTAGTTTTTATGAGCAAAAAACGCTATTAATGTAAAATTAAGCAGTCATTATGTCACCACACTTGCTTGCCCAGTCAGGAAAGTTTTATATCTTCTTCTTTTTTAACTGACTTAAAAAAAGGAGGATATTCTCATTTCAATAGTATTTTTATGTATGTATGTTACGTGATAACCAATGGTCGGAAAAAGGTGCTCCACATACATAGATACATGTATAGACAACACTAACAACAATAACAACACTATGTCGCTCCTTGTAGCTATATCTATACATGTATCTATATATCGCACTTGACAACTTACATAGTATTTATATAACATATCTCAAAAAGTGCGTTATATTTTATCCTAAAATTGCAATGTAATATTAATAATTTGTTTCCAAAATTTTGCTATTTTTGTATGTCATTCGTATATGATTTAATTTCAAAGTGACAGACAACACTGTCGCTTTGAAATTAAATAGATAATATTAATATAACCTAAAGCAATTTTGAGATAATACTATGTTAGTTGTCATGTGCGATATGTGAAACACCTTTTTCCGACCATTGGTGATAACTCACATTTGTGAATCGATTTTGATGATTCTTTTTTCATTGGAAAGAGGATATCTCAATACTGGTTCTCTAAGGGTAGCAAACTAGGGGACTTTTTAAAACTTTTTTTTTCAGTCTCTTCCTTTTTCAAAATCTTATTAGTTATAAACTGACAGCGTGAAATAAATTTACAAACCTTATCTTGTAGATGTTTGTTTGCCTCCTTAAACTGTCGCCTAGGAGCCTCAAATTGCTCTATTTTCGCAGCCATGGTTTCATCATCAATTTCAGGACATGAACTAAAATAGGAAATAACAACATATATTTATATATATGAATGAAAAATCCTTTTCCCAAATTCACATCAACTTGGGCATATTTTGTATGTTTATGTTAACAATTGAAAGATAATTAAGGTGTCACAATAGTTCTTCTTCTTTTAAATGTTATGGCTCCATTGAAATAATCAATGATTTCGCCAAAAGTAAAAATGACTATGTATGGTAGTTTTGTAAAAATCATATAAAAATTATGGCGGACTACGCCATTAGCAAGGCCCATCACAATGGTTATAGATGTGGAATCACAATACACCAGCCAGAAAAAGTTTACTTACAAGCAGCTAAGAAAGACATGGTGTTGTTTGTGTCAGTGGTCGAATGACCTTTATGTGGTGACTTTCATACCAATGAGTAGTAAAATTTGTGTATAATAATCATTGACTTACAAATAAATGGACGACGGGTCTAATACAAAAACCACGAAAAAAATGTCCCAAGTCAACCTATTCGAAATTTAAATTGTTATGTCATCGCAGTATCGCGCTGTCCGTAGAACAAATGAAGACTAAAGCGGAGTGTCGCGCTCTGTATACGATTTTAGCGCCTTACAAGTGCGGACACTTTTTAGCGCGGACCCGACGTCCATATAATTGTAAGTCAATGATAATAATAGAGGGGTCAATCAAGAAGTAAATTTTGTGAAAAAGTTTTCAGTCTTCAACTTAAAAACATACACTTACATAGACATACAACTTAGTTATTAACTATAAATATAAAAAACGAACATAAACTTAAATGTGTCTTGTACTTACGCATGAAACCGATGTTCAATACAATAATGTTTCCCGCATTTAACACACAGCATTTCATGTAGATTTCCTTTTCGGCAAGCTTTCTGAGAGCATTTGTAAATCTTATCAGTATTCTCTAGATTTATCTCTTTTGCTTTTGGCGCCATTTCGCAAGTCCCCGATACACAATGTTCCGTGAAATGTGTTCGACAAAAAACTTTCCCGCACTTGCATTGAAGAGGTAGAAAGTCGATTGCGTTGCAATTTTCTAACTGGCAGTGTTCACCGAGATCCGGAAATTCCATTTTTAAAACTCTTCGTTTAGTATTTCACACTTTAAAATCCTCAATTAGCTGTTTAGAGGTTATCTACAAAAAATATATAACTAATGGAGAATTTACATAAAAACTCATCCAAAGAAATATTGGTATGAAATTAAACATTACTTGAGATACTTCTGCGGTTATGAATAAGTTTCTCTTTAAAGAAATTGAACACTAAGGTGATTATGCA